GCTTGACATTTTCCATAATAAAGAGTAAGGGGAAAAAAGAATTGGTATTTGTTTTCAGTCTCTACTGAAATATACATTTACAACTTATCAGAAAATAAATATAAATGAATTTTTTATTGTGCAAATGTAAAGACAAAGGAAGGACTTGCAGCAGCCTTGATCACAGGAAGGGGCTGCTCCTAACGTGGGTCTGGTGGAGGCCCCTCTCTCCTCAGTGCACCCACGTGTTGAGTGAGAGCTGGGGCAACAGACCATGTGCTTCCTGCCACACTGAGGTTGTCACCAAGTGTTTATTTGAGCACCATATCCTGCTCTGATGAGCAACCCCTTGGCTAAATGTTTGGAGAGTTTAAACTTTCATTTTCCTTTTTTCTCTCTCACAAAGGAGAAATCTTAGCTCACTGAGGGATTTTTTTTAAAACTTAAGTGAAGTGTCCACAAACACCATAAGCCCACATGTCAGTCAACATGACAAATCATGGTTTCCAGTCAAGTTATGGAAATGACTGTGGGGATGCATATACAGGTACGTTCCCATTTAAAATGAAATCTAGGTTCTATGTCAGTCCATTTTCCTGCTCTGTTAATAAAAGTGTTCCAGGGGTGTTCATTTTAAGGCCAAACAGTCCTCCCTCCCCAGGGCAACTAATACGTTCCTGTTGATCATCCCAACTTGCTGCAGAGGAGTTAAACAAATCAGCTTAGGACTCGAGTCCAAACGTCTCAAATGCAGTCAGCTCTGTTTTCTCTGCCATCTCTGTCCTAACAGTGAACAACCACTTATTGCCTTGAAAGCAAAGCATCGATTGAATGGGGGAATCTGCTTCTGAGGAAGTGGAAGAAAAAAAANACGTTCCTGTTGATCATCCCAACTTGCTGCAGAGGAGTTAAACAAATCAGCTTAGGACTCGAGTCCAAACGTCTCAAATGCAGTCAGCTCTGTTTTCTCTGCCATCTCTGTCCTAACAGTGAACAACCACTTATTGCCTTGAAAGCAAAGCATCGATTGAATGGGGGAATCTGCTTCTGAGGAAGTGGAAGAAAAAAAACATGCTGGGATGGTGACTCTAGGTTATTTGTCCTGGGAAACAGCAGGGCGCCCTTGGAGTCCCCCTAGGGATCAAGTGACTGCTGTTTTAGGCTTACGTTGAAATAACCACTTGAGGGAAAGGGCTGCAGTGGAGCCTTTGCAGGTCGCTGCCTGTGAGTGTATGAGCACCAGGTTCCCTGTAATTAAGAAGCAGCATGCTCCCGCAAAGACGGTGCTGCCACCCCATCTGCCGAGCCTGCCGGAGCTGGCACCGTGCCTCCCTGCCTGCCGCCCTGCTACCCACCAGATCCTTGGAGACCGCCTCTGATGGAGCGTTTATGCCAAGCTTTTCCAGAGGACAGACAATCTGTCGTCGTGGTCGCACGGGAACCAAGTAATGAAGGGCAGATGTCAGGGAGTAGGTGTAGGAGTTCTGGAACTGAAAGACAGCAACCTATATTTTAGGGGAGAGAATGTCAGAGCAGCGCAGCACAGATGTCTGTGTGCAGCTTTACAAATATAAAAAAACTCTTAACTCGGCCAAGTCAGAGAGGAAAAAAAAATCAGCAAATAAACAAACATACTCTTCGAGCAGAGGAATGAATTGTAGATAATGCCTGACACTAATGAAGATAATTACGAGAGTAATTACATTACTATCTCTGTGGGAATGACAGATAAACAAGTGGTTTGGTTTATGGGATTTTTCAGTGCAAGTATTTTCCCCAGGAGGATATTCTTTTCCATAGTGATCATGAATCAGCTTGATTTGACCCCATTAAGCTGTGTTATCTGCGTCCTGTCAACCTTTGTGTGTTTGGCACAAGCTGCTTTAAGAAGACACATAGATAAAAATGTCATCTGAGGATGTGAAAATGTCATAGCTCGGATGTGAAAATCCTCCTGTTAGTCACTCTCAGTGAGTTCAACTGGATCTTTGTTGATTATTACAGAAGTGTTTTAGAACAAAGGATAAAACTGGAAAGTGGGGGTGGGGGTGGGGGAATTAGGTCACATTATGTTGACATACTAATACTAAATTATGAGCTGGATTTATGTTTATTGAAATTAACTATGATAAACCATGTTTTAGGAGAATACTTTAAATATTAATTTTATCCAGTTTTTAAAACTTGGCAGAGAAAACTGAACATAGTGATGGATATTTCTTTCATATTTATGAAATCTTAGGGGTTTTGGTGAAACCAACTCAGGGCATTGTAACTATTTAAACCTCAAGAGTTTAACTGTGAAACCAAACCTGTTGATATATTTATTGAATTTAAGCTGCAAAGCAAAGAAAGTAAAACCGACTGTAGAAGCACCTTAATAAATAGACGGTTTACATATGACTTTTTGCTACTCTAAAAATAGCCCTAGGCATTTCTAAGAG